GGCATTCCCCTCAGGTGATTCTATGATCCAAGTATTAGGTACAGTCAAAAGGCAAACCTACATCATACTCCCCTGGAATTAAAATAAGCATTTTCACACTATAAATTAATTCTGTAAATTATACATACATGTATATTCAAGGATAAAGAGCTAAACAGTTATTGGTCTGGATTTATTCAGCTTCCAAGTTCTTTGCAATACTGGTCCCAGCAGTATTTTTCAACATCTTTTTAATGTTGAATTTTAAGCCACATTTCTTGTTCTTTTCCCCCACCTTGAAAACTTTCTGAATGTATTAAAAAAATCAAAACAACAGAGTACCCTAAAAACATTTTTTAAAAATCCCCAAAAGAAATCCACTAGTTACATATATGAATAAGGAGCATTATCTGTGAATGCAGACTAACAGTGTCTTGAAGGCTTTGTTAATGTTCTTTCCCCTTATACTGCATTTCAACATTTTCTGTTTATTATTTATTTTCTGGTCCATACTTCCTTTCAGAGACAATCAATATTCTTGTGTTAAGACAACAAGACTACATTTAATTACTTGGTAAGACAGCTCAGGATAGCTAAACTGGGTAAACCAAAAGAAAATACTGGTTTTGCCTTGAGACACAGTAACAGAAATCCAGCTTACTACCAGGCATAGTATTCCTCCTAATAAAACCAAAGATCAACATAAAGAAATCAGTTAAGGTGGGGCACATAAATGTTGATCTATCAGAAGAGCTGAAAATGTTTTTGTAAGAGTCACAGCAATTTTTGCTCTCAGTTGTCATCTATTACTTACCCTACTGTCATAATAATCTTATAATTATTTTTTAACATTATTGATGCAACACACCTCATGCAACAACATACAGTGTTGCTACTTCTAGTAAAAGTGGGACTTTTTTACTTATTCTTTGCTTTGTATACAAGTATTGCATTTCAAATGTTTTCTTTATTTCAGATATAACAAATATGCCATGTTTGCAGAAAGAGAAACTAAAGATGAAAGCAAATATTTATATAATTTTAATGCCACCCTCCACTTAATAGAGCAGTACTTGCACGAATGGCATTTTAATAAAGCAGATTACACTGTATCTCAGTGTAAACTTTTAAAACACTGAAGATTAAATATTTCATATCACATTCTATTTCCCTCCAAGTATACAGCTACAATATTGTAGTCTCACAGCATTTTTAAATAATGTGAATATTGACACTGGCTAACAAGCAAACATTTTGAAATGCCTCTTTGACACATGAGATCAAGAGGCTACACAAAACCAATGCTATTTGTACGAGAGAATCAAGCATTCAAAACTAAGAGAAACAATGTAGTTTTCCCAGTTAACATTATAACACTTCTGTTTCACCTACCCATCCTGTTTGCTGAAAAAGGTTTAGAGTTACAAAGCATGAGCCGCATCAAATTAAAAAAAAAAAACAAACCAAAAAACAACACACAAGAAATTGAGCACAGTCAGTGCAAGATAACTGACAAAGAGAAGCAGCTGGATTTAGATTGCCGAAACAACCCTAAAGGTTAGGATTTCCTAACTTGAAAATTCTGGACCTGAAGTCTAAACAAAATCCTTCTAGCATTTTTCTTCTTTTTTTGGTGGTGGGGAAATCTCTCTCCTAAGCACAATTCAACCATTATACAATCCTAGTGGCATATACTATACTTCAAGAACAAATTTGCCATTTTCTTCAGCCAAACTCGCTGGTGGCAGTCAGAGGCTATTTTTTGACTACCATGTGCCAAGAGGAGCAGGTACTGTCTTGTCCCTCACATACAGTAGAAAGTTTTAGTGTGTCCTTTCCCACCCTCCTCCCTACACAGCACACATGCTCTGGCACTTCCCAGGAACACAACTTTTAGATGATCCTCATTTCTACATTTAAACAAAAAAAAAAAAAAAAAACAAACCCCAAACAAAATGAAAAAGCCCATCAAAAACAGGCAAAAAAAAGAGCTAGAGTATGAACAGTGTAAGCCACTACGTTCAAGGTCGGTATTTCAATAAGAACTGAATGGAATTTCCAAGTAAAGAAACAACACATCTCTATAGCCAGGTCTCACATACATCCTCCATGCATAAGAGTTCCCTGGTAGTCCCATACATTATTACAAGTGCTAAGCAAGTTACAAGTCAGCATTGACAGCACTGAAAAATGAAACCACCTTAAGGCTCCAAGATGAACTACTGCACCTTTGGAAGTAGATACGCAGGTATAGACTTTCCAAAATACCTAGGCAACAGGACAGATATAGGCCCATCATTAAAAATGAATTACCAAAAAAGAGAAAAAAGAAGGAGGCAGGGGAGGTAAGCATTTATCACCTATCATCAATGGTTAGCAACTTAGATCTGCACCCCTAAATCAGTAGTTCATAGACGAAAGTCTGAGAGACCATAGAATTAGTTTATAAATGACCTAGAGAATGACACTATGTATATAATTTAACTGCAAAAAGCTTAAGAGTATGACATCTGTGTAAGAAATTCTGGTCAAAGGAATTCAAGGCAGTAGCACAGAAACCCGACGTAAGGAAAGCTGATCCAGAAATTCGTAAGCTATAAAAGTTCTGTAGAAATTATGAGGTATGCTGTTTTACACCCAATCTTTAGAATATCCTGAATTGTTTTGGAAAATAGAATTATTTAAAACTGTGTTACTAAAATGCTCAGTCGTTCATATACCCTCACTATCCAGAAAAGGATACAAATCCTTCTCCTTAAACTGAACATAAATTGCAAGATGGTTTTCCTCAAGCTTCACTAGATGTACTCAGGGGCTGCATCCAGCACGTACTTTCCTCATATCTGTACACTCTTCCAACTACAAACTCTGAAGAGCCAGCAATATGCTGAGGAGACATACAGCCTAGGTATTAGGAAAGCAATCTAAACCAAGCATCTCTACATGTGCCTCAATTTCCATAGATGTTGAAAACATACTAAAATCAAATTCCCCAGATAAAAAAGCACTAGTGTTTAAACATTAAGTGTATATATTTATTCTCTAGTAACTGAAATAGCTTATTTGCTCTTCCTCTGAAAAACCATATTTCAGCTCTAAGGGTAAAAAAAGAGTAAGAAAAACGAGTATTAAAAAAAAAAAGATTAAAGAATAATATAAATAAAGACTACTGTGAAATGATCCAAATAATTTTTTAGTACTTTATGGGTATGTACTTAATTCCTACAGAAACACAAGAATGTTTCCTAAACAGACAAAAATTGAAGAACAACCAAAGAAAACTTGACAACTTTATTTCTAAAACTAGAGATTTGGGTCTGCAGTCTACTATCTAACGCAATCACTACTCCTTTTAATATGTCCATTTGTTTCACTTTTAATTCAGGGATCAGTTTTTTCGGACAGAACATGTTCACATTAAAAAGAGCACTTAAGCAAGTGTCCCCCTCAGCCAAAGACAATCAATTTATAATAAAGCTCAATTCTAAAATACCTTTAAATTGTGGACTTTTTACACTTATGACAGACAGTATAGGAAGTGTACTTGTTTCTAGAAATATGAAGAAATGCATAAATAGGAGAAAGCTGAATTTCTCTGTAGTCTTGAAAATAAAGTCAATCATTAACATGAAAAAAAAAAAGAAAGAAAAAAATGTCATTGTATTTTTGTCCCTGGCATCTAATGACTATTTAAAAAAGAAGCCATCTGATGATAGCATCTTTTTAGGGTCTGGCTTTTTTAAAAATTGCCAATGGAATGAGCTGCCAGAGGCACAACTGAGAACATACTTTCTAATCTTCAACCCTTAGTTCATGTTCTTTCGTACAGTGTCCTAAAAAAAGCAAAACAAAAACACACTACACTATACATTGGGATTGTCCTAATTAAGACAAACCCAAATTATTTTACACCAACTTTCCCCTTCCATGGACAGTAGTTCCTGTTTAAACAGCAGTATTAGTTGCCTACTGTCAACTTAAGTTTTTCTACAGTGCACCACTAAATAAAAAAACTATTTTACAAAGCCAATCCTAACACAGAACAGAGTAATCAATCGGTGGTTTGTAAACATCACATGGGAGCTGAAGGCTGTTTGTCGAAGTCAGTCAATAAGTAGCCTCTTACATTAACAAAACCTACTACAGGAAAGAACTGCAGTCTCTAAACACGTATTTATTTAATTAATTTAACCAGCTTTAATTGCTCGCTACCTGAGACTTGTGAGTCAGCTATTTAAAAGGCATCATATTATATTAAAAGCCCTCACTTCTGTGCATTCAGAGTCTGGTCACAGGACAGGAAATGAGCCTGCACACGGAACTGGTGCTTGTTTGAGAAACCTTCCAAACTACTGCTCTTAAAGTAGTAAGAATTTAGATCAAGAGGTAAACAAATATATTGCTGTTGTAAACATACAAACATGAATTTACAAAACACCTCTGGAGAAGTTATTCTGCTACACAAGGAAAACACTTCCTTGAAGGTTTTTTGTAAAACTTACATAGATATTACAAGTTTATTCTTAATTTATGTGAGATTAACAAGACTCAAAACTTACATAGACAATTGTAATTTTAATTTTGGATCTCTTAAAATTTGAAAAAGAAGCTCAGAATCCGAAATTACAAATTTAACTTTGAGCTTGGCTTCTTTCCTTAATATGAAGAACAACTGCAGCTGCTATTCCAAATTCAGTGGTTAATTCTTAGAAGTACAGTGAATGACAAATGAACACACAACATAACTTAGTCTGACCCAAACTAAAAAACTCAAACCAAATGTTCTGAGGACAAGACAGATCACCTGATCACTTAGTAATTTCTCTGAGGAAGTTACTGCATTCTTAATGCAACTCAATAGAAGCGCAATGCACATAATTAATAGTAGTCCTCTGAAAAAGGCCTTTAAAGAGCAGGTAAAAAAATGTACAAAAACTTCAAGATGTCATCTAAAAGCACTTGTTGAAAATTAAATAGATTAAATAAAGTAAAGGTTTCTCACATTTTGATGGTTTGCTTACCTCTGAGGGGGGATATAAGGAGCAGATACTGTTGGCATAACTGTACAGGGTTCAGCCACTGCTTTCTTGGCTTTTTTTGTCTTTTTCCTGATTTTTGATGTAGACCTAGCAGTTCTGACTGATCCCTCCTTTCTACAAACACCGTTTTTGATTTCAGCTTCTCCATAAATATTGAGCGGTCTCCGTGTGCAACCTGGTGGAGTATGTACATCGCAATAGGCAGTCTTTTTCACAGAGAACGTTGTTCCACTGCCAGTTAGTTCTTTCACAGGTTCCATTTTCATATATAGACCAGCCTTTTGAGCACACGTCACATGGAATGCAGTATAGCAGTTTGCTTTGTGGCACTGGATGCAGGCACCAACACCTTTCTGTTTACAGAGGTAGCATGTTAACTTCCATCTGGCTGGGGGAATGTTCCTGACACCATCAATTGGCTCAATAAAAACCGTATTGGCAAATCCAACTTCTGGAATCCATAGAGCACACACTACGTGTCCCCAACGATCATCATCTGTCTTTTTAAAGGCACCTCCCTTGTTTGGGCACAGCACACAGTCTACAGGCCGAGAGCGGGACTGCAAACAGTGTCTGCAGAGCCACTGGCCCTCGGGTATATATGGCACCCCATAGCATTCCTGATGTACTGCTAAATTACACATATCACAAAACAGGATCACATTGCTATTCTGACATTCACCATCCATGCATATACAACACACTGCATCTTCATCAATTAAAGACTGATGATCACCCTGTTTTTGGTTCTCACAATAAGACTCTTTTTCAAACCTATCCATAAGGAATTCAAACATATTTTGGGAAACAACTGACACTCCATCACTTTTCCGTTTATCATTTATCAATTCTAACCACGCATAATCTTCTTCATCCATGTCATACTCAACTTCATTATCAAGTTCTTCTGCTGACTTCTCAATGAATTTGTAATAAATGGGAGGTCTCCGAGGAGCCGAAGGGGGACTGTATTCGACAATCCGTACTTTTGGTTCTGGAAGAGGAGCTGTTGTAGCAGGTACACCATGTGAGCTCGGAAGAGCTTCATTTTTCTTTTTCACTTTGTTATTTTTATGGCGTTTGCTTCTTAGACAAACTGGTGGTCTTTCACTATTTTCTTTATTGCTGTTGCATTCACTCATCTCCTGGGCAGTAAGATCATCTTCTAATATAATTTCTAAAGGATCAAAGATACTGATCCTATGCAGGCGACCTTCAATTTCTATTTCAACCATCCTTTGAGCTTGAGCGTATGTCAAGGTTTCTCGTGTCGGGGAGTGCTTAATACTGCATGGGGAAGAAGAATGCCTTGCTGCCGATACTCGATGGCATCTTCCTTTTCTCCTCATTTGGTAATGTTTACCTAAAATCAGAGCAACAGTTAATATTATGAACACCAAATAATCATATTAAAATATTAGTTTTATTGTAGTAAGGGAAAAACCTTCAGTTCTACAGCCCTCTATGCATATATTTAACTAAAAATAAACAAAACCAAAAGCCTGTCACTCTTACTCAACATGATTGCTCAGTTTTGTACAAGTTTAACCTGAAGATCTAGAGATCTTCTCAATAACAGCTTCTCTGAGTAAGCAGTTATACAAAATCCTTGCTAGAAACCCTCTAGAAGCACTGTTGGCAAGACCACTGCATGAGAACAAAAACATTTCATAAGTGTCACAGATTAAATAAAAATGCATTTGTTACCTGGTAAGAAAACCTTTAATACAATACTTAACACCTTAGGGATGCCAGCAGTTTGAAAATTTTTGCAAGCTACAGATTATGTCCTCTAGACCTCTCCACAAAAAAATTAATGTAATTGTGAAAGAAACAAGAGTCTTCTCTGAATTTTTTCCCGTGCAATTTGAAACACTCTCATGTTATCAGCTCAACTACAATAGCTATATTTAAAAGTTAGAAAAGCACACAAACTTCCACATTTGGAAAGTGGGCAGTTTGACAGCGCTATACTTTTTTTTAACTTTCCTCAATCCTTAGTGAGCCCATTATTCTTCACAACATGACAAAAACATGACAGAACTCTTAGTGCCCAATATGGTGCAGTATGGACTGCAACTAGTAAATATTTCACCTGTAAAGCAGATTTGACTTAGAGCCAAAACATGTTCCCTGCTTTTAAGTACACACAGCCTTCTCCTTCAACAGATTCTTCAGGAGCTGTTCTCAAATCAACTGCTGATAGATACAAATCTTCCTATTTATAAACCCAGTCCCAAGCTCTTTAAAACAATTTTTAAGTTTACAACCTACTGCAAAAAATCACATACCATACAAAAAGATAGCTTTCTCTCCCCCACTCCAAAGCCCCATGACTAGGATGGTCACAAAACTTCTAAGTTAGAAGTGTCCATATATACTCATGTCTTTTGACATCTTCACACTGGCTGGGGCTTTTCTCCTGTAAGGGTTGAAAATATTATAAACCTGACTGACATTGTCAAGTCTAAAATTCTATTCCACTCCTTCCTTCTTCTAAATAAATCATTAATAAATAGCATCATTCAACATCAGCTACATAAAAAACCCTTGTTTAATCACTGCTTAAAGTGTTATTAGAGTCTCACCATTTCAACTCCGCATTTTGGGTCAGGGCTGCTCACTATAACACAACTAGTGTTAGCACGTATTGCCAAAATAGTAGAGAAATAGAAAAATCAAAACACAACTACTGTGAATGACCAGTATACCTATTTCAGGAAGAAAACAGCAAGCACTGAACAACTAACTACATGAATTACTCCATGCTGCTTGCTCCTTTTGCTTAAGTCTATGATGCCAATTTCTAAAGGCCTCAAAGTACTGAAGGAATTCCTTTCACAGGAAGACTACTAGATCACTCAGGCAACTAACCCTAAGACTAGTTCCCGAAAGGCTCTGATCTGTCTGCTCTCAGAAACAGACTCTGTTTTCATAATCTAAGCTAGTGTTATTACTAACACGAGAATTGTGCTTCTCATAATTTTTACACAACTCATTCTTAACCCTTACTACTAGTTTCTGTACCGTACAGCCAGACAACAGTCAGTGTTTAATCATGACAGATCTTTGCTCTTCATAAACCACAGAAGAATACAAAATGTTCCATTTCTTCAAAAAACTTTGGAAGAAGCCTATAATAATTAAATTCTGTAAAACAACACAGGATTCAATCATATTAGTTTCTTAACTGCAGAAAACGGTTTAAACAACTAATACTGCCAAAGAAGGTCTGACCACTAAAACATACCAGGAATTTAACCAAAACTAAAAATTAATTCCCAGTTTCAATACAGATTTTATAAATGAAACATATTACAATGGCCCTGATTTCTGTTATTGTGAACAATTAATGACGGATTCTTCAGCTAAAACGCACTGATGTGTCCATGCACAGCAACTTGTTACAGATCAGAAGGGACTCAATTTACTTGTCCATCAAGAAACATGGTTTACAGCATGTTTACCTCGTATAATTGCGTTTCAATTCTGTCCAGATGCAAAAGCCTGCTTTGGTATTTTTAATGTCCCTTCCTACATCTTAGCTGGTTGTGTATCTGTTCATAGTGGCTCCTGAGGATAAAGACTGTTTCAGAGAATACGCAGAGGGAGGGATGAGAGGTGACCTTCAGAAATCAAAAACATATGTAACTTGTCCATACTACCTTAGCCCAGTACCACAGAAAAACACATTAATGCTATGTTTCCAAGCTCTCCACCCCACTCTGTTCCCAAGATTCTCAAGTATGGCTTCAGGTAGGAATTAAAAATAGGAAGAAAATACTCAAAAGCACTAGAGCTTTAATCTTGCTTAAAGATTTAGGACAGCTGTTGCAAAAGTCAAATGAATTGTACAGACCAGACTGATAAAAAAATTATTGAGCTAACACCTAAGTATATTGTAATACTCAACAGTAAATACAGCGGACTTAGGAAGGAAGTTCCAGTCGCAAACATAGAATGGATACCCTAAAAATACAACGTAATGCACACAGAATCAAAACTGGTATTAGTCAGGCTGAATTTCATGCAAATTTAGCGTGAATAACTTAAATGCCCCAGAGGCCAAAGCAGTGTTTTGTTTCTCCAAAATTCTTCTGTTCGCAAATGTTCTAGAAATACTCCAGATGAAGACCAGAGTTCTGCATAGCAAATTCATGACCCACAACTGATTTGCTTTTCCTAGGCAATTATCAGCTGGCATTTCTCCCTTCTACTCCCACCCCTCTTCCCAGTATCCTGTAGATCAATAGGAATGAGGACTAAGATGTAAATCTGAAGCGTAAACTAAGACAAGTTTCCATTCAATGACCACAAAGATACTGCACTAACTGCACACAAAATTATTTGAATGCACTTCTGTTAGCACTGTCCTGCCCGCAAAGACTGTGGGATATAAACCAGGAAAGTTATCCACAGCTCTTATGTCCTAGAATTGCATCAGCTACTTGAGAAGGAAATCGCCAGCAGACGTTTTTCCTCCCCATAACAGAAGTACATGGAAATAGCTGTTTCTGTGAAATACATGGTATGAGGTAAAAACAACAACAAAAAGCTATTTATCAAGGTGTAGGATAGCTAAAATCAACACGAAAAGTACAGTACCACATACTTCTAAATCATAATCTCTGCCCTAGTTACCTTCCTTCTCTTCAAATAGCTGTCTTTAGTCCCTGGATCCCTGCTCAATGGACTAGGGAATTCCACTTTCAATGGCACTTTCGTGTAGACCATTAAAAAGAGAAAGACACGGGAATACTCTTCAGTCCTAGACAATGAGGGACGGTAAGCAAACAGTGCTTACACGCACACTGGGCGGACACCACCCGCGGCTTCAGCCGCGCAGCAGGAGCGATTCCCCGGGGCACGGCCCAGAGCGGCGGCTGACGGAGCCCAGCGAACGTGCGCGGGCACGGCCAAGCCACGCGGGAGCACCAGAGCCGTTCTCTCCCGGCCCGGCGGAAAGAGCCCACGGCCGCCAGCTCCCGCACCATCCCGGCACCATCCCGGCATCCTGCCTCCCGCGCGCGCTGCCCACGCCCCCGGCCCGCCCCTGCCGGTGCCGCGCCAACACTTCCTGCCCACGCCCAGGGAGCCTCCAGCGCGCTGCCTCCCCTCGCGCCGATGGTTCCTGCCCGGCGCGGCGCTCCCCCCTCCCGGCCCCCGGCAGGATGGTTCCTGCCCGGGCCCATCATCTCCAGCCCTTCCCAACAGTCACTCCCTCCCGCCGCGAAAATACTCGGCCCACAAATATGGCGGCTGACAAAACAGCTCCAGCGGCGCCCTCCCTCCCTCCCCCAGACCGCCGCGCTCGCCTCGCCTCCCCGCCCGCTCGCCGCTGCCCTCCCCCGCGGGCTGCCGTGCCCAGTCCGCCCTGCTCTTTCCCCCGTGCCGCTCTCCCGTCCCGCTGCGGCGAGACCCTCCGGCTCCCGGCCCCGTAGCCCCCGCCCGCGGGTCCCCGCCGCCCAACCCGGCCGTACTCACGCTGTGGGAGCCGCCGAGGAGCGGCTGACAGACCTCCCGCTCCGCCGCTGCGGCCGACGCTCGGCCGGGTTAATGGCGGAGGCCCCGCCGGTGCTGCCGCCTGGCCCCGCGTCCGGCAGCCGCGGGCGGCCGAGCGGGCGCTACGAGGGCCGCGCTGCCCGCGGCGGTCACCCGGCGCTGGGTGCGGGGCTGCTGCTGCCGCCGGGCGCGGCGCATTCGTGAGGCGCGGCGCGCGTCGCCGTCCGGCTGCGGGCTCGGCGCTCGGCTCCCGGGGCTGAGCGGCTCCCCTCCCCCCGCGGCACAAACAATGCGGCTTCACCACAGCGCTGCGCCGACGGGGGGGAGGAGGAGAGGCGGGGGGGAGGAGGAGAGGCGGGCGGGAGGGAGGGAGCGAGCGAGGAGGGAAGGGACGTGAGGGCGCCAGGCGCCGCCCAGCCCCGCCGCTCCCGCCGCCGCGGGGCGGGGCCTTGCGCGCCGCCGCTCCCCGTGCCAGGGGCCGGCAGCGGCCGCACTCGGGGCGAGAACGCGCCGGCCCCACGACCGCCGCGCTCCCGCCTGGACCGGCCGGGCCCGAGCCGAGCCCGACCCCCCCCGCGCGTCCCTGGTACAACGTTCAAACGGCCCGGCGCGGGGGCCAGGGAACGGATGGAGGCGGGATGCGACTCGTTACAAAACCGAGGCTAAAAAGTTAAAGCGAGTGGTATTTATTATCTCTTTGGGAGGGAAGTCCAAGCTCAAGATTCCTTATGTTGAAAGTAAGCTCTTTTGTGGTCTCTGGGTCTAACTGCTGCTTGTAGATTAACTGATATTAGCCTTACATTTTGACAGAGAAAAAGAAGGTTATTTCTGGCTTCCCCCTGCGAAGGACACCCTTTGTTAGGTATTATTTTTAGACAGCCATTACAGCCATATTTGAGAACTGGAGGATTTTACTGCAATACATTTCTGCAAGGCAGCTGCACCCACATCCTTAGAAAACAAGGTTTATCTGGCCCAGCCTAACACAAACACTTGCCCGTGCCGATCATCCAGAGCAAGCATATAGTAAAAAACAAGTGATTGAGAGTAGGGGTGATTCTTTTTACCCATCAGTATTTAGCATCCACTCAGCTAAATTGCTGCAAAACAACTTACTGATTCATTTTCATGTTTTCTCCAGCAATAAGAGGTTTCCTTGCCTCAAAACTCAGTAGGTCCTACAACCAATATATGACTAGAGAATCAGAAATAGATACATCTCTTATTACTTGTAGAAAGTTAATTGAGGTCCAGAGAGTTTAAGCAACTAGGTTGGAAATCTTGTTGAATATGAAAAGTACTTTCCAAAATCTTTTTTCCTCCTCAGGGACCATTTTAGCACACTGATCTCTGAACAAAACACAAGCTATTAAAGCAGCTAACACTCATGCAGTCCACTCAGTGTAGGTATAGATCCTTAGGCTCAGACACATAAAGTACCTTCAACTTCCAATACAAGAAAGTTTGTACAAACTATGGAGGCCATTTGGTCATTTGTGTACTTGGCTGTGAGGAACTACTCTCCAGTTAAATTGTTTTAGTGATCCTGCCACCAGTCTCAGAAGTCTTACAACATGCTGATATAAGTTAGTGTTGTTGCACTGAAATTCAACCTGTGATAGAAATATATTAAAGAGGGAGTATCATACCATACCTTATCATGTACATTAGTGTGCAGAGTATAAAAATGAATAGAAATAATGTTGTCAAAAACCTAGTAAGATTATGATAAGAAAATATGTCAGTTTATCTTTTAAGCGATAATTCACGTGTATCTGCTGTGCAGCTGTACAAATACTTTTTTAAGTGGAGACAAGTTTGCCACAGAAACCTTGATGGTGTCCACATTCTAATGTGTCTGACACACAGCAAGTCTGGCTTTTTTCCAGTTTCTTTTTTCTGCCAGGTGGACTACAGCATTCCATCGTCCTTAGACATCCCTTTGATAACAGGGTATTCCTTACTGGTACTTGAACCATTTGACCACTTTTCTGTAATTTAAACTAATGCTTCTAGATTCTTCCAATTACTCTCATTAAGAAGGTGGTATGTTGAGTTTTTGCTCTGGAGCATCCAGGCTAGGACACAGACCTCATGTTGTTCCTTCATATGGTATTTCAGAGTAACAGCACAAAGATTAGAGCACACTCAACAAAAAGCTCTGTGTTAGGAGTCTTAGACTTCAAAATAATTTCTAATTGACCTTATGACAGGTTACCAGAGCAGGATGCTCAGTCTCTTCATTTTAAGTATTAGTATATTAGCCTATGTATTTCAAAACAGAACAGTATGTAGTATTGTCTGGGGCATCTGTCCAGTCCTCAACACATGTGCCTATAACCTAAAAGATCTGCTACCTTCATCTTTTCCACCTCACAAGTGAGATGTAGTTACTCAAAAGAATACAATTCTACTAGCCTATGGTGCAATTTCAAGCCAAAAATAAGAAGCCCTCTGATCCCTAGCTTGATGGCAACAGACCCCTCACCACCATTTTTCACATCAGTTCAACATGTGCAAGGGGCTTTAGGCCCAGTCCTTCAGAATCCTCACACCCCTACCTGGCAGGATCAAACTGTTAAACAAGTTGCCAATGCTGACTCACTCTGCATGGAAAACTTCACAGCAGGCCGATCTTCTGCCTACCAGCTCTCACCTCCACTAGCTGTCAAATTCTCAACAGAATCACTGCAAGAAAAATCACATAAAGAAACACAATTGCTATTTATCTGCCCCGGCATCCTCCTTATTTTCTTGTCGAATCAAACTTCATGAGACACATTTCTATGTTTCTAAAGTGTATCACCTTTGTTTCACAGATTAATAAAAGTCAACTCAAGACTCACTGCAGCACTAAATACTGGCAGAGGTAATGACCTACTTTGGATGCAACTTTGTACCCCTCTCCTGGCCTCGACAGCTAGCTGCTGAAGGGAGAAGAAAGAATCCGTACTCATAACCCACTCCTTAGAACCTGCAACAATCTGCATTTCGAGAAAGGTTTTGGACTGCCATGACATACCCGTGTGGGTCTTCTTCCTATCATGATGACAAATCTGCCTACCCTTGCATGTGATATGTCTATATGATGCCTTAAGGTAATGTATCACCAGTAAGTTTTCAAGTTTGGCTTCTCAATTATACAATTTACACCTTCACACTCATCTATGAGACAAAATTACCATGGTCCTCTCGTCCTACATGGGAATCATTTTAGATCTCACTTACTACATCAGTCATGGTAGGTGGCACTGGTTGAATACTCGCAGGCATGTCTTTGCAAGTTCATAAAAGAAAGGTTGTTCCCAAACCTCAGGGAAGCCAGAACAGTACTCACTGTGGAAAAGATACTGTAATCTTATCAACAGACATATTACAGCAGTGTGCTCACAGAATTTCAGCTGTTTATTTCCAGTCTGTTGGGTGGTGGTGCAGGATCACTCTGCATCTTCTGGGTGATCTTTGCAAATTTTTGTATTTATAGGAAAATACACATTATCACTGATCTATCTCCTAGTTATTACTGATATATTGTAAGAAAGACTGGTATGTCATACTAGACTGAGTGGAATATATGGTTCAAAGTCCTGGATGACCATCCCAGAAGGAAGATTAAATTTTTATCTTCAAATATATGAAATAAGTATCCATTTTACTCCTACTTGTTTACTGAATATATTCCTTGATCTGTAGTTAGGAAGATTTGTCTGGATTTTCCTTTTCATGCCTCCGATCTGGAAGTTTTAGCTGTATTATGACAATGTATGTTCACCAACTATTATGGAATCAAGCATTTTTTGTTTCTTACAGCCTCAGTAACTCTTACTTCCTACACATACCACCTTTCTCGTTCTCACAGCCAAAGTGGTTCTTTGTTTATGAATTGTTAAGACCCTTTAATCTGACCCTTCAGAACAGACAATCCAAATGAACAGTCTTCACCAAAACACAAGTTTAAAAACAGACTGGGAGCTGTGTCAGTGCCTTTTATGGTACTGATGAAGGTCCAGAGACCTTTTATCATCAGAGCTCCACCAGAAGTCACATTTGATCAGGGTGCTTGCAAAGAAATACCTTTGTAAGCTGCATTTGCTGAGCAGTCCTATGGAATGTTATCTATAGATAAGCTAGAAGATCATTTGACAGCGTGGTCTTTAAGTAGTAAAGCTGCTATGCAAAGGTCCTTATCCCATTTCCATGTAAGCATTTGTTGGAACTACTGCTTGGGTCACCTACTGCAAGAAGAGGTATGTATCCTGTCACTTGCTGACAGAGAGATACACTAAGTACTTTGCTGAGATACACAATTGACAGGGAAACCTACTGCCTGCTTTACTTATCCACTATTTTGAGTCCTTTAACATCATGTACCTTTAGGATTTTGCAGTTTTAAGATGCTCTCTACAATAGGTGCTCATAACTGTTGCATGGTGGAAGGTGGGGAATGAGCTCACTCCTCTGGACACTGCAAAGATG